TGGGCCAGCTGGTGGTCGGCCTGCTCCGTCTCTGCCGCTTGCCAGCTACGCCTCGGCCGGCGCAGGGGGCGGAACCACGCATGCGCGGTGCTCCCGGGCAGGGAAAGTCCTCGACTTACGACCGGTTGGGTAGTCCTCGACTTACGACCGGTTTAGTCCTCGACTTACGACAGGTTGGGGTCGCGGCATTAAAAAGGTTGAGAACCACTGGTTTAGAGACCGAGTGCCCAAACTGCCACCGAAAACCCACTTATGCACCATGCGGCCGGCCTGGCGTAGTTTTGATTGGGTTTTGTTAGGGGTTTTATATTTTAGAGCAGGCTTTTATGTAATATTTACTGTGATTTTTATTATTGCCTGTTCACCGCCCTGAGTCCCGTAAGGGAGATAGGTCGGTATATAAATTTAAATAATAATAATAATAGTTAGGTGCCGGGTGGCTGTGGCTCATTGGGTGGGCGTGGCCCATTGGGTGGGCATGGCTGTGGTGGTAATGGCAGACTGGGTGGGACTAATAATAATAATGATAAAGTTGGAAGGGACCTTGGGGGTCATCTAGTCCAACCTCCTGCTGAGGCAGGAAACCTTATACCATTTCGGACAAATGGCTGTCCAGTTTCTTCTTAAAGACTTCCAGTGTTGGAGCATTCACCACTTCTGGAGGCAGGTGGTTCCACTGCTTAATTGTTCAGGAAGTTTCTCCTTAGTTCCAGGTTGCTTCTCTCCTTGATGAGTTTCCACCCGTTGCTTCTTGTCCTGCCTTCAGGGGCTTTGGAGAATAGCTTGACTCCCTCTTCTTTGGGGCAGCCCCTGAGATACTGGAACACTGCTATCATGTCCCCCCTCGTCCTTCTCGTCGTTAAACTAAAAAGTTTAATCAATCAATTCCAACTTTGCAAGATCTTTCCCCCCCCCCCCGCAAGAAGTTGAAATTGATTGAACCTTTTTTTTTTTTGCACACGGCGGCGGAGGCCTAAAGCGAAAAAGTTTTATAAAACCCAACTGAAGGCCTAGGACTGGGGCGACGGCGCGGGTGCCCACAGAGAGGGCTCTGCGTGCCGCCTCTGGCACCCGTGCCCTAGGTTCCCCACCACTGGCCTAGTGGCTATTGCAGGGGGCATCAGAGCAGGACAAGGGCCGGGCCGGGCTGGGGTGTCCCAACAGCTTGGTTGCAAGAGATTCTGTCTGGCTTTGGGGGTGCTGCAAATTGGATGAAGATCTTTAAGGGGGTGGTGCCCCCATTTGGCTGTCCCCCAATATTTTCCCTTCAATCTTCAAAGCGGTGCCGGTGGGGAGCTGCGTTTGGGGAAGGGGGGGGCTCCGATTACGCCCAAGCGGGGTTGGCAATGCCATCGTGCACAACAAGCCGTTTTGTTTAGGCAGCTCCTGGCAACTGCCAGGGGGAAGTAGCCGTCCCCCCCACCCACCCACTCGCCCCCCCCAGGCAGCGTTGGCCGGCCCCCACCCTGCCCGCCTCCCTGCAGCAGCCTTATTAAATACACATTGGCGGGATCTATAAATAAATACGAGCCGATCTGACGTTTGAAATGTATACGCCTCCTTAATTTAATGCAATAATTCTTTGGGCTGGAAAAAGTGACTGCGAGTGAAATTACTTCCAACTGGCCCTGCTTAAGAGCTGCCTTTGGGGGTTCCCCCCCCACTGCCTTAGGGGTTTCCTTTCCTTTGGAGGCTAAACTTCCCCCCCCCGCCCCCAAGATTGGGTTTAGGGGGAAACCTGGGGATTTTGGGGGCCAAGATGGAAGAGCCGGGCCGGGTGGCGCTGCAGGCAGCTCAGACGTTAATAATAATAATAAAGTTGGAAGGGACCTTGGAGGTCATCTAGTCCGACCCCCTGCTCAGGCAGGAAACCCTATATCATTTCAGACAAATGGCTGTCCAGTCTCTTCTTAAAGACTTCCAGTGATGGAGCATTCACCGCTTCTGGAGGCAGGTGGTTCCACTGGTTAATTGTTCTCACTGTCAGGAAGTTTCTCCTTAGTTCTAGGTTGCTTCTCTCCTTGGTGAGTTTCCCTCCGTTGTTTCTTCTCCTGTCTTCAGGGGCTTTGGAGAATAGCTTGACTGCCTCTTCTTTGGGGCAGCCCCTGAGATACTGGAGCACTGCTATCATGTCCCCCCTCGTCCTTCTCTTCATTAAACTAGACATCCCCAATTCCAGCAGCCGTTCCTTATATGCTTTAGCCTCCAGTCCCCTGATCCTCTTTGTTGCTCTTCTCTGCACTCTTTCTAGAGTCTCAGCATCTTTTTTACATTGTGGTGACCAAAACTGGATGCAGTATTCTAAGTGTGGCCTTACTAAGGCGTTGTAAAGTGGTATTAATACTTCACGTGATCTTGAATACTTCACGTTCTCGCAAGAGGCGATGGTTGAAATTGCAGGAATTTTGCGCGCTGGCGGAGGGTGGATGGCGCCGCGATTCCCGAGCACGCCGATCTGGATTTTTGGCAACTGGCGGCACAGTGCCACGGCCGCAGATTTTACGTTGGTCGTCCTCAACTCACGACCACAACGTGAGCCCCCAATTTCTAAGACAGTTACGAAGTGAGTTTTGCCCCATTTTATCATCTTCCTTGCCTCCGTGTTAAGTGTGACTCCTGTTCGTTGTTAAGTTAGTAACACGGTTGTAAAATGAGCCTGGCTTCCCCCCCAATGACTTTGGTTGTCAGAAGGTCGCAAAAAGGGATCGTGTGACTCCCAGGACGCTGCGACCGTCGTAAATAGGAACCAGTTGCCCGGCGTCCGAATTTTGATCACGTGGCCGTGGAGATGCTGCGTTCGTTACATGTGTGAAAAATGGTCATTGGGACATTTCTTAAGTGCGTTTTGTCCCGTTTTACGACCAAATGGGACCGTTTTGCCCCATTTTACGGCCGTTTTGTCCCGTTTTACGCCCCCCGGGACACCTCGCAACTGTCATAAATACGAGTCATTTGCCAAGCATCTGAATTTTAATAATAATAATAATAATAATAATAATAATAATAATAATAATAATAATAATAATAATAATAGTAAAGTTGGAAGGGACCTTGGAGGTCATCTAGTCCAACCCCCTGCTCAGGCAGAAAACCCTAAACCATTTCGGACAAATGGCTGTCCAGTCTCTTCTTAAAAACTTCCAGTGTTGGAGCATTCACCGCTTCTGGAGGCAGGTAGTTCCACTGGTTAATTGTTCTAACTGTCAGGAAGTTTCTCCTTAGTTCCAGGTTGCTTCTCTCCTTCATGAGTTTCCATCCGTTGCTTCTTGTCCTGCCTTCAGGCGCTTTGGAGAAGAGATTAGCAGAATAATAGAATAACAGAATGGAGGGGGGGGACCTTGGAGGTCTTCTAGTCCAACCCCCTGCTCAAGAAGGAGCCCCTACAGCATCCCAGACGAAGGGTTGTCCAGTCTCTTCTCAAAAACCTCCAGTGTTGGAGCATTCACCGCTTCTGGAGGCAACTTTCTTTCCACTGATGAATTGTTCTCACTGTCAGGAAATTCCTCCTTAGATCTGGGTTGGTTGGAAGAACCAGCGGGATGGACTTCCCTTTCTTTTACCCCCTAAGAGAGATGCATTGACCCGATTTATGTCTCTTCCCAGTCTGCAGATTCGGACCTGCCCTACCCTCCACCCCAGAGGGAGCCCAACATCTACATGGTCCCTCAAGGAATCAAGCCGGTTCTCCAGCGAATGGCCATCGAGGTGGGTGCAGAAGATCTTTTGACTCGGGGATCTCTCCAAACATTCTGGAGAGAGAATTGCTAATTTTTGTAAAAGCCGTCAGGACACGGGAGGGTGCCACTCTGCAAATTAAATATTTTCTTTGTCTAGTCAGTTTGTTCCCCCCTCTGACCAGCCAGACTCTTAACGGATCACAAAACACACAGAACAAAATGTTTGCGGTAGGATTAAAGTAACACCATCAAATGCAAGAACCCTACGCAGGTTCTGATTAGATTAGATAACCTTTATTGTCGTTTTTTTTAACCGTGGGCACAACGGCACACATTAAAAATGAAATTTAGTTGCTTCCTCTCAAAGCGTAGACATACATAACACACATTGAAACATACTATATACAACATATGTATAGATCTACACCCTTACATATAAGTAACATATAAATGTTAATCATTGTCCATCTTAAATACATAACGGAAGGAGTTCACAAGGTTAACACTGTATGGAACAAAACTGTGGCTGAATCTTCTGCTTTGGATACCACGAAGCCCCGTCCTCCCGGAAGGTAACAAGGAAAAGAGGTTGTGAAGAGGGTGTGTAGTGTCCCAGACAATCTTATAGGCCCTGCTCAAGCAACGCGTATGTGCTATGTCCTGGATGGAAGGGAGGGAACTGCCAATGATCTTTTCGGCCATCCTCACCACTCTCTGAATTGCCAATAATTTTTTCTGCTGTCCTCACCACTCTCTGCACCGCCTTCCTGTCTGAAGCAGGGATGCTTCTAAACCAGACTGTGATGCTGTATGACAGGATGCTCTCGATCGTCCCTCTGTAGAAAGTGGTGAGGACAGGGGAAGGAAGATGTGCTTTTCTCGTGCGACACAGAAAATGCAGGCACTGCTGTGCCCACTTCACCAGTGTCTCGTGTTGAGCGACCAAGCTCAACATATCCTCAACATACGACTATAATTGAGCCTGAAATTATGGCCATAAGTTGTGACAGCCTTTAAGAGGCTGTGACCATGTCTGATTTTATTCCCTTTTTTGTAATGGTCATTAAGCGACAATCTCCTCCTCCTCTCTGGAAAACAGAAAATGTCCACTGCCGCTCCCACAACTCACACCCAACACAACCCGCGAAACTAGCTCTAGCTGAGTTGTCCACATCAAGACTGTGTTGGTCCCTCTACGGTCAGTTTAGGGCAGGGGTAGGCAACCTTGGCTCTTTTATGACTCATAGCTGGCTCAGGAATTCTGGGAGTTGAAGTCCATGAGTCATAAAAGAGTCAAGGTTGCCTACCCCTGGTTTAGGGTCTTAATAGATGGTGGCCCTCTCTGTTGCTTTTTTTGCTACAGGTGTTGGCTTGGGGTCTTCGAAACCTGAAGAGCTACCAGTTGGCCAGTGTCACTTCTCCCAGTCTTCTCGTGGAGTGTGGTGGGGAGATGGTCCAGTCAACCGTTATCAAGAACCTCAAGAAGAACCCCAATTTTGACATCTCCGTTCTCTTCATGGAAGTGGTGAGGCTACCTCGTTCAGCCTTCTCTTGTCTCTTGTGAGAATTACTCTCTCTCCCTTGTGATATTTGTCTAGAAAATTATATTTACTATTCCACTCTTTCTCAAGGTTTGAATGGCTAAGATGCTTGCTAACCTCTGTCACTACTCACCTTGCCCTAGAAACGGGGGGAGGGAAAGCCTGGGAAAGAAAAGGGAGTTTCAAGAAGCCATCCATGGACCGTGAGAACCAACGTCATCCAAAGCAGGTGTCTGATGGAGAAGTGGACCGTTCCCATAACAAACAGAAAGGATGTCATCGGGCGACGTGAACACGTGGCGGGTGGGGGTTACGAAAAGCCATTGTTAACTAACTGGAATTTTGCGCCGGAAAACAAGAGTTGGCTTTGCTTCTTCAGCGCCATTATACGTATTCAGTAAAGATTATCTCTTATGGCAGGGCTTTCCAACCGGTGGTACGCGCATCCCTGGTGGTACTTTGGCACTTGGCAAGTGGTACGCGACCTAGACAAGTGTAGTGAAGCAGTGGCAGTGCTGAAGAGCTGAAACGGCAGCAGCACCGCACAGGCCCGGGGAAGAGTCAGCTGAAGCTGCGGCGTTTCTGGGACTCTGCTGAGGGCCCGAGATCAGCGCACACGGCTCCAGCTGATGGGCGCTTCCGGCAGCCTCAGGGGTGCCGGCAGCCGCACGCTGTCTTCAGGTGGAGAGTCAGCTGGAGCCGCGGTGTTGCTGGGGGTCTGCTGAGGCTCCTGGATCAGTGTTCCTGATTGGCGCTTCTGGCAGCCTCTGCTATCACCGGAAGTCGTAGGCAGGCCTTGGGATGAGACAGTCAGCTGGAGCTGCAGGGCTGCTAGGCCTCACTAGAGGCCCCAGGATCAGCGCCCACATCTCCAGCTGATCAGTTGGAGAGTGGGTGACTGCACGGGGAGTGAGACTGGGGTAGCGACGGATGCCGGCACTCTCCCTGGGCCTCAGAGAGTGGTGCACCTAGAAAAGGAGGATGAGGAGGGGGGAGAGAGGAGAGGATATAAAAAGAGGAGGTTTTGGTGGAGTGGGAGAGAAAAAAAGATGCTGGGGAAAGAGAAGGGGACGGAGACAGAGAGATGGCGAAGGGAAAGGCTTCTGTGAGACGAGCAGAGGGATCAACGGAGGAGTACAGGCAAGTGAAAGACAGAGAGGAAGGAGAGGGAGAGACAGAAGGGCCGACCAGCCACCTGACCACCAAGGCGGTGGCGCATATTAATAAACACGGATAAATTTGTCGTACGTTCATCGGTGCAAAGGGGAAAGTGATTCAGCCAAGGAACCGCTACCGAAGAAATTAAAACCGATGCTTTCTCCCCTTTTTTGGGGTCATCAAGCTTTTGACACCTTGCTAAACACCGGTGGTACTTGAAGATTGTCATGTCCTAAAAGTGGTACAATTGGTGAAAAGGTTGAAAAGCCCCGTCTTATGGCACCTCAAGACCGTAGAGCAGGGGTAGTCAACCTTGGCTCTTTTATGACTCGTGGACTTCAACTCCCAGAATTCCTGAGCCAGCTGTGCTGGCTCAGGAATTCTGGGAGTTGAAGTCCACGAGTCATAAAAGAGCCAAGGTTGACTACCCCTGCCGTAGAGTTTTTTCAGTGTTGGATTCGCTAGCCGGACGGTTGACGACGTTCTTTGAATTAAAAATGATCCCGTCTTCTCCTCCTCTCTCTGCCCTGTGGTGCCAACCCTGCCTGTTCTTCTTTCAGCGTCTGCCAAGGGAGGACCTGTACTGCCCTCCCATCATTATCAAAGTCATTGACAACAGGCCCTTTGGTCGCAAACCGGTGGTGGGCCAGTGCACCATCCGATCCCTGCAAGGATTCCTCTGCGACCCCTACAAAGAAGAGGACGTATTTCCTGAAACCCACGCAGGTCAGGAGCGGAGGAAGATGTTTGGGGGAATCGTAAAAAATGGGGGCTTTTCTGGGACAAATGAATTATAGGTCAGTGGTGGCGAACCTATGGCACGCGTGCCAGAGGCGACACTCGGAGCCCTCTCTGTGGGCACGCGCACCATGCCCCGAAGATGGCAACCGTCCCTCTTCAACCAGCCGCCCGCTAACTCGCCGAGGTCCCACATGGCTGGATGCATCCCAGCACCCATGCGCTCGCTGGCCTCTGTGTGCAGGGGCCGATGGTGTCAGGCAGCAGCCGCCCCAGCCCCTGCTTCACCTTTCCCTGTGACAATGGCACCCCTGCCCTGCCTCACCTTGCCTTGCCTCACCCCGCAGGACGAGACTCTTGCCCACCACCCCACCTGCCAGAGACCCCTGGATCTCCCCCAACCCTGCCCGGCCCCCACAGGCGTCCCTCCCCACGAGCAACATCGAGGTGATCACGCCCACCTTGGCCACACCCACCCAATCTGCCATGCCCACCCAGTGGGCCATGCCCACCTGGCACCCGGCGATAAATAAGTGGCTTTTGGGTTGCAGTTTGGGCACTCGGTCTCTAAAAGGTTCGCCATCACTGTTATAGGTGATATTTGCAAAGGAAGCCTGGCTCTTGAGCGGGGGGGGGGGGGTCTTCAGACCTGTCAACTTGAAGGCCTGTGGACTTCAACTCCCAGCATTCCCCAGCCAACATGACTGGCTAGGGAATTCTGGGAGTTGAAGTCCACACGTCTTGCAAGTTGCCATGTTTGGCGAGCCCTGTTCTTGAGTATCATCTGGAGGTTTGACTACCTGGGGTCACCTGACGTCATTTGAGTGTGGTGACTTCCTGAAGGTCTGACTGTTCGTGGTCAGCTATGTGTGGGTTGATTGGTTTGGGGTCAGTTTTATGGTATCTGTCCTTCTTCTCCAACGTGGCACTTTCCAGATGTTATTGACTACAACACCCAGAACACTGATGGATTGTTGAAGACTTCACATGTGCCCTGTTTGGTAGTTTGAAGTTGATATATCTTTCGTTTTCTGTTCAATATTTTATTAATTTTTTATAGTGACAAATCCTTCATATTTTATCAGCAACATATTGTCTGGGTTCCAATGTTTAGTTTATTAATACATGTTAAACTCCTTGCTCTCTACTTCATTTTTTCTAGCCATTGATCAAATGTATCCCATGTTCTAAAGCAGGGGTAGGCAACCTTGGCTCTTTTATGATTCATGGACTTCAACTCCCAGAATTCCTGAGCCAGCATGGTTGAAGTCTATGAGTTATAAAAGAGCCAAGGTTGCCTACCCCTGTTCTAAAGTAATCTAAATCTTCTTTCTCTTTCATTTTCAATGTCAGTCTGTCCATTTCTGCACAATCTAAAATTTTCTTAATTATCTCTTCCTCCACTGGTAATTCTTCACCCTTCCAACATTGAGCAAATACAATTCTCTCTGCAGTTAGTACATGTAACATTAAATATACACATTCCTTCTCAACATTTCCTACAATTATACCTAACAAAAATAATTCTGGCTTAAAACCTATGTGATTTTTAGTCATTTTCTCTAACCATATATGTATTCTTGACCAGCATCTTTTGACTTTAGGGCACGTCCACCCAAGATGTAGTATGTCCCTGGTTTTTGTCTGCATTTCCAACAATTGCTAGACATGTAACGGTTGCTGGAATTGGGTATGTCTAGTTTAATGAAGAGAAGGACGAGGGGGGACATGATAGCAGTCTTCCAGTATCTCAGGGGCTGCCCCAAAGAAGAGGGAGTCAAGCTATTCTCCAAGGCGCCTGAAGGCAGGAGAAGAAGCAACGGGTGGAAACTAATGAAGGAGAGAAGCAACCTGGAACTAAGGAGAAACTTCCTGACAGTTAGAACAATTAACCAGTGGAACAACCTGCCTCCAGAAGCGGTGAATGCTCCAACACTGGAAGTTTTTAAGGAGAAACTGGACGGCCATTTGTCTGAAATGGTATAGGGTTACCTCCCTGAGCAGGGGGTTGGACTAGATGACCTCCAAGGTCCCTTCCAACTTTATCATTATTATTATTATAAACATTTTTGCTAACCTCACAGGTGCTAAGTGCCACCTGTAGAACATTTTGTATAGGTTTTCTTTGTAAGACACCACCTTGGTTATTTTAGAATTTCTTTCCCGAAGGCTTTGCCAGTTTTGTAACTCTATGTTATGCCCAACGTTTTTTGCCCATATTCTCATTGTTTCTTGAACTTGTTCCTCTTCCATCTTTAAACTTTGCATGTACTTATACAGTTCCTTAATCAATTTTTTCATCGGATGTCAGTATTAGAAATTGATATATCTTGAACCTTCCCAGACAATGTGCCTAAATCACAGGGTCCAAAGACCTTGTTCCATCTTCTTGGCGTGAAAGACCTCTTTGGGATGGTGTGAAAGACACACGGATGGAAGCAAGAACAGTCAACTCCCAAAACTAAAGGTAGCTTCTTCCCTTTTTTCTTTTTTTTACAGAGGACATGAGCCTCACCCCAAAAGATGATGTTCTGATTGACATCGATGACAGAGAACCTCTCCTCTCAATCCAGGTAAGCTGGCTCAGGTGCTAGAAAAACGTCATATGGAAAGCAGCAGCAGCAGCAAGGAACAAGCTTCAAGGCTAAACTGGGTTTGCTGTGCCACTTCCTAAACTGGGTTTGCTGGTGACTGCATCTTGGTGATGGTGCATGCATGTGCAGAACTGGTAGCTGCTGAGGTCAGTGAGGAAAAGAGTGAGATGCAGGAATTGGGTACATCTAGACCAGGGGTAGGCAACCTTGGCTCTTTTATGACCTGTGGACTTCAACTCCCAGAATTCCTGAGCCAGCCATGCTGAGGGGAAACGGAGAGGCTTCCAAGCTGAGCCATTCTGGCTCAGGAATTCTGGGAGCTGAAGTCCACCAGTCATAAAGCAGCCTAGGCCAGAGATAGGCAACCTTGGCCCCTTCATGACTGGTGGACTTCAACTCCCAGAATTCCTGAGCCAGCCACGCTGAGGGGAAAGGGAGAGGTTTCCAAGCTGAGCCTTGCTGCCTCAGGAATTCTGGGAGTTGAAGTCCACGAGTCATAAAAGAGCTAAGGTTGCCCACCCCTGGTCTAGATTAATGAAGGGGGGACATGATAGCAGTGTTCCAATATCTCAGGGGCTGCCCCAAAGAAGAGGGAGTCAAGCTATTTTCCAAAGCGCCTGAAGGCAGGACAAGAAGCAACGGATGGAAACTGACCAAGGAGAGAAGCAACCTAGAACTAAGGAGTGAGAAAAATGAACCAGTGGAACAACCTGCCTCCAGAAGTGGTGAATGCGCCAACACTGGAAGTTTTTAAAAAGAGACTGGACAGCCATTTGTCCGAAATGGTATAGGGTTTCCTGCCTGAGCAGGGGGTTGGACTAGATGACCTCCAAGGTCCCTTCCAACTTCACTATTATTATTATTATTATTATTATTATTATTATTATTATTATTATTATTATTATTATTATTATTATTATTATTATTATTATTATTATTATTATTATTATTATTATTATTATATGCAGGATCGGATAACTGTTTCTCCAGAGGTCTCCTGCCTTGGGCAAGGGGTTGGAGTAGAAGACCTCCAGGGTCCCCCCTCCTGACACTACGACTCTATGTAATTCTGCTGTGTGTGATTCTATTTCAGCCCTTCTTGGTTTCTTTAAATTTCCCCTTTCTCTCTAAAGTATTAGCCCCCCCCCACGCCCCAGTTCCGTGTCATCTGCAGACTTACTATGTGTCTGCTGAACTCCCCCCCCCATCCCATTCCCCCCCTAAAAACGACAAAAAATGTGGAAATAAATGCTCCTGCCCGCTGGATACTTCCCCTCCAGCCGAAGTGGAGCCCTTCGTGCGCATTCTTGAGGCGGGATCGTTCCGTCAACGTAATAATTGATCATTATAATAATTGGATAATTGAATGAGCTGGATACTGTAATTGGATAATCCTGCCAGTTGTTTGTCTTGGCAGCGCTGAATCTGATCTCGGTCAAACTCCGCGGTTCCACACGGAGATCCTAAGAGCTTCTGTTACAGGATGTCCCCAGTTGATCATCCTTCATTTTGCCTCCTCTGTTTCCGGTGACCTCCGTTCAGCCTCGCCTTGCCGGCAGCAGTTCCTCAGTCCCGACTCCCGGAGTTTCCAGCCAGGCTGTCAGCCGGAGAGACAGATCTAGGTTGGAGGAACCTGGTTTAGATGGTGGACCACGAATCACCAGGGATGTTTCAATGTTTCCCTGACTTCCTTGGGGCCCTTCTGGTGCAGCTCTGGGTTTCATCCAGGGGCCACCTGCCCCCCCTTTGCCATCAAGTCTGAAATGGTATAGGCCCTCCTGCTTGAGCAAGGGGCTGGACTAGAAGACCTCCAAGGCCCCTTCCAGCTTCTATTCTATTCTGTTCTGTTCTGTTCTGTTCTGTTCTGTTCTGTTCTATTCTGTAATTCTGTTCTATTGTATTCTATTGTATTCTATAATTCTATTCTATTCTATTCTATTCTATTCTATTCTATTCTATTCTATTCTATTCTATTCTTCCATTCCATTCCATTCCATTCTATTTTCTATTCTATTCTGCATTCTCTCCTGTCCTGTCCCGTCCCGTCCCGTCCCGTCCCGTCCCGTCCCGTCCCGTCCCATCCCATCCCATTCTATTCTATTCTATTCTATTCTATTCTATTCTATTCTATTCTATTCTATTCTATTCTATTCTATTCTAGTTTAGCCTAGTCTAGTCTAGTCTAGTCTAGTCTAGTCTAGTCTAGTCTAGTCTAGTCTATTCAGTGCAGCATAGAAGAAGATAAACATCAGAATAACAGAGCTGGAAGGGACCGTGGAGGTCTTCTAGTCCAACCTCTGCTCAAGCAGGAGACCCTAAGCCATTCTGACAACTGGCTGTGTAGTCTCTTCTTAAGAACCTCCACTGATGGAGTAGCCACAACTACTGGAGACAAGCCATTCAGAACAGAACAGGATGACAGAGTCGGAAGGGGCCTTGGAGGTCTTCTAGTCCAACTCTCTGGCCAAGCAGGAGAGTCTATACCATATCAGACAAATGGTTGTCCAATCTCTTCTTAAAAACTTCCAGTGATGGAACCTCTGAAGGCAACTTCTGAAGGCAACTTCAGAACTTCTTCTGAACAAATTCTCCAGAACTACTTCAGAACAATTTCTGGAGGCAGGTTGTTCCACTGGTTAATTGTTCTCACTGTCAGGAAATTCCTCCTTAATGCTAGGTTGCTTCTCTCTTTGATTAGTTTCTATCAGTTGCGTCTTGTCCTGCCTTCAGGCGCTTTGGAGAATAGCTTGACTTCTGGAGGCAAGAAGTTCCACTGGTTAATCGTCCTCACTGTCAGGAAATTTCTCCTTAATTCTAGGTTGCTTCTCTCCTTGATTGGTTTCCATCCATTGCTTCTTATCTTGCTTTCTGGTATCTTTGGAGAATAGGTGGACCCCCTCATCTTTGGGGGAGCCCCTGAGATACTGGAAGACTGCTATCTTGTCCCCCCTGGTCCTTCTCTTCATCAAACTAGACCTACCCAATTCCTGCAACTGTTCTTCATATGTTTTGGCCTCCAGTCCCCTGATCCTCTTTGTTGCTCTTCTCTGCACTCTTTCCAGAGTCTCCGCATCTTCTTTACATCGTGGTGACCAAAACTGGATGCAGGATTCCAGGTGTGGCCCCTAATCTCTGTTGCTCTTCTCTGCACTCTTTCCAGGATCTCAGCATCTTCTCTGTATTGTGACCAGAACTGGATGCTGTACGTCTTCCTCTCTTTTTTGGAAAGGCTCCTTGGTGCGTAGGGACCAGCTCTCCCCATTGCTCAGGCTCAGCCAGATTCTCACCTTGACCAAGGAGATGTTCGCCAGAGATCCTTCCCTTCCTTGTTCTTATGGCCAGTGGGGAATGTGTCGAGTATCTCGGGCCCAGCCGCTTGTGAGTTGCTTTCAGACACACATCCTTGCCAAATATTTTTGCACAAGAAAAGAGACGGCTGGGTCGGAGATACAGAATATTTCTGAAGTATTTCCCCCCCCCCCGTTCATTTCTTGTCCAAAAGAGAGAGAGGTTTGTGGGGGAGACAGAGATATTTCACAAATGGAGATGGGCACGGACTGTTCTATAATGTCCTGGTAAGGCCACACTTGGAATACGGCATCCAGTTTTGGTCACCACGATGTAAAAAAGATGTTAAGACTCTGGAAAGAGTGCAGAGAAGAGCAACAAAGAGGATCAGGGGACTGGAGGCTAAAACATACAAGGAACGGTTGCTGGAATTGAGTATGCCCAGTTTGATGAAGAGAAGGACGAGGGGGGACACCATAGCAGTCTTCCAATATCTCAGGGGCTGCCCCAAAGAAGAGGGAGTCAAGCTATTCTCAAAGCCCCTGAAGGCAGGACAAGAAGCAACGGATGGAAACCAATCAAGGAGAGAAGCAACCTGGAACTAAGGAGAAACTTCCTAACAGCGAGGACATTTAACCAGTGGAATGGCTTGCCACTAGAAGTTGTGGGTCTCCATCACTGAAGGCTTTTAAGAAGAGACTGGACAGTCACTAATAACAACAAGAACAAGAACAAGAACAAGAACAAGAACAACAACAACAACAACAACAACAACAACAACAACAATAATAATAATAATAATAATAATAATAATAATAATAATAATGATAATAATAATAAAGTTGGAAGGGACCTTGGAGGTCATCTAGTCCAACCCCTGCTCAGGCAGTAAACCCTCTACCATTTCGGACAAATGGCTGTCCAGCCTCTTCTTAAAAACCTCCAGTGTTGGAGCATTCACAGCTTCTGGAGGCAGGTAGTTCCACTGGTTAATTGTTCTCACTGTCAGGAAGTTTCTCCTTAGTTCTAGGTTGCTTCTCTCCTTGATTAGTTTCCATCCGTTGTTTCTTCTCCTGTCTTCAGGTTTCTTTGGATAATAGCTTGACTCCCTCTTCTTTGGGGCAGCCCCTGAGATACTGGAAGACTGTCATCATGTCCCCCCTCGTCCTTCTCTTCATTAAACGAGACATGTCTGAAATAGTACAGGGTCTCCTGCTTGAGCAGGGGGTTGGACTAGACAACCTCCAAGGTCCCTTCCAACCCTGGTATTCTTATTCTGTTATGTCTTCATTCCAATACTCAGAGTTGTCTCCTTTCTGCCATAACCACCCAGTAGATAGAACCATTCCCTGCTCTGTGTGTTTGGACAACAGGCAGGCACCCTCTGCTTGACCTGAAGCCCCCTCCCCCTACTTCAAGTTTACTAAGACCCTGGTGACTCTAATGCTTCTTCGGGGTATCTGAGGGAGAACCGCTCCTGGCTTATCGGTGTCTTATCTGAGTGGAGGCGCCGCTGTTCAGCCAAACTATGCGATATGAAGCACACTGGAGAGCATCACATCTGGAGCGGTGGGGTTTCATGGCGCGCGATACGAGGAAACGTGGCCAGGTCCTCGGTTACTGGATCTTTTGGCCACGATTTTGGACACTGCTCAGAACAGGATGTTCCAATCCTGTCCCGGGCAGTGTCC